CCAAACACTTTAATTAAGTTCTAGATTGCATATAATACCTATAACAATGTAAATACTATGTAAATAGTCTGTATTCCTTTGGAAATATTAATAGTAAAAAAGTCTAAGAGCTGGACGTGGTGGTACATGCTTATAATCCCACTGACTCAGGACAGAGGCAGGAGGATCACAAGTTCAAAGCCAGCCTCAGCAACTTAGCAAGCCAGCCTAAGCAACTTAGTTCTCTAAATAAAATATAAAAAAGGCTAGGGATGTGGCTCATTGGTTAAGTGCCCTGAGTTCAATCCCAAGAACAACAACAACAAAAAACACACACACACATAAAAAACAAGCAAACAAAAAATATACATGTTTGGTACAGATGCAAGCTTTTAAAACTATTTTTGGTGCACAGTTGGTTTTATCTGTGTATGTGGAACCCACAGAGACAGAGGGCGACTGTATTTCCACAATAGTTCTTTAAGCAAGTCTTGAAGGATGAATAGAGAATTAGAAAATCTTTTCCATTCTATAGTTGAAAAGTGAGCAGCAGTAAAATGATGGTGTTTTACAGAGGAAGGTAAGAAATACAGAACTGCTTTGTTTGCAAACTCTGGTGTTGGCTACAAGAAAAGGCTRTATTCAAAATGATCTTATAAATAGATACAGGACAGATAGGACCTGATATTGTAGACAATGAGAACTCAATGGAGTGAGACCAGCCACATTGCCAAGTCATGTGCACAAAGATTACAGAAATTAATTGTTGTTTCATGTCCTTAAAATGTCATTTGAAAGGTTACTTTTTTATTTTCCACTTTCTAAAATGATTTTCCAGTCAAAATTTTACAGGTTTTATTTATCAGTTCTTCTGCCCTTTTATAAGCAACACTATGTTATTTCATTGTGAATTCTCACATGAGTTTGGGCCCTGCTTCTGGGTAAGAAACTTAAAAGATGAGGTATCTAATTGTCACTCCAAGTTGGAACTCTKTAGGGACCAACTGCATTCTTCTTGCTTTCTTTAATAAAGTGGAAAAGAGAGGAAGGGATTATTTCAAGCCATTACTCTTATTATTCACGCTTTGGAAACCAATTTAAAATGATGCTTTGGCCTTAATATAACAAGAGCTTTCCTAAGGGGCTAGGTTCTCCATAGTTTCACATTTATTTCTTCATGCTTCTGTGACATGGCCTTTATAAAGCACACTTTAGAGCTGGGCTTGCGGTTTAGTGGTACAGCTCTTGCTTAGCATTAAGTAAGGCCATSGGTTCAATACCCAGCACCCCCAAAACAGAGGACACTTAATGATAGGAAAAAAATCTTAATGGATCACTACTTATGGTCCAAAACACAATTCCACTTCTTTTTCTATGGACTAGCGGTATGGAAGGAGACAGTATCTAAAGAAGTAAGTTGAAAAGGAATACAATTTAAAATACTGTTTTCTAACATTCTCTGCTCTCCCAAATCCTGAACTCAGTGCAAAAGATAAAAAATGAATGGACTGTCAGTTGTATCTTTAAAAATAATATGGCCTATAAATGACTTTCTCAATGGGAAAGGTGAATGAGGGAGAATAGGGTAAGATCCTTTGTTGAAGTAGGTTCACTCTCATGAAGGAAGGCAAGGAAAAATGACCTGATGTTTGCAACTCATGGATCATACAATCCTGTGTAGTGAAATGAATAAAAAGAAACAACTGGAGAAAAGATTTACTTCTAAAAATGAAGAGAGAACTAAAGCAAAGAAGGAAAGTAAAGATTTTTATACTCAACTAGTAATGACCCAGAAACCATGACATAGAGCTAAGGACCTGAGTCACTGGGAAGTGCCCCCTGTTAGTAGTGTCTTGAGGATTGTCCTTTTCAGAGAAAAACATGCAGTACACTGAGAGACTGTATGTGAACAAGAAAAGAACGGGTTGGTTTATAATTGCTGGGTTCTCTGTAAAATTATCACCTCAAAGTCTCCGTCCTCAAGGGATAGCATTTTTAAAGCCCATATTTGAGATTTAAAATCATTTCCTTTTAGTGGATGATTTTTATTACATGATCTATGAAATAGTTATCTATAAAACATCAATGATAAAAATTGTTATTTTATTAAACTAGAGTTTGGAGAAAAATTTAATTGCACATTAACTTATCACTGGAATGTTCTTTGTAGGTCTGAGGAAACAAAATCATGTATTTTCCTTTTCCTATAGCTTTACACAATACATATTTTCTGGGTTCAATAGTTGGCCTGTTATTTTTAGAGGGAAATTAGCTTAAAATCATACCAAAGTTTGGTTGAAAACATGGCTCTGATAACCCACAGCTGATTATTTACCACCTTTGTCACTATGAACATATGTATAAAACTCTTGTAATCAATCTCCRAAAAATAAGATTTGTTTGATACACATTGAGCTGACTTCAAAATTAATTCTTTAAAAAATTTTTTTTCTTAGTTGTAGATGGACACAATATCTTTGTTTTATTTATTTTTATGTGGTGCTGAGGATCCAACCCCGAGCCTCACACATGCTGGGCAAGCACTCTACCACTGAGCCACAATCCCAGCTCTTAAAATTGACTCTGGATGTTCCTGAAATCATCACTTGAAAGAAACATCTGTTAGTCTCTTCTAATTTTATATTATTTTCTCAAAGAAGCTGGCAAGGACACACTGACCTGGCGCATAGATATCTGTGATGCTCTTACATACTTCCATAAGATCAAAAAAACWAATGGAATAGTGAAGGATGATGGTTTTCCACTGCATGACCAAACACATGGATAGAGAATTCTCTATGGATAATTTTTTTTTCTACAGTGCATTATAAGCCCACAGARAAGTCAGTAAGTCAGCTGGTGAGCATTCAAGGGACAAAGCTAGACTTTTCAGTGGTTTTTCAATTGCTTTGAAAAGRACTTTTTTCCTTTTGTATTTGCATACTCATTCATTTACTCACTTGACGCACATTTGTTGAGGTCTGCGGGTGTAACGCCAGGTGTTGCCAGACAGGATGGTGAGGAAAACCTTGGTCTACCATATCATCTCTTTTCTTCTTCACAACCATATCCTATGGCATGCCCTCATCCCTTTACGACTACAGCCCTTCAGTGTCCTCTTAGCTAATGCCCCGGACACCCAAGTCCTTCCCTCATCAAGTTATGTTAGAAAATGCTGTAGAAAAATATTCTTTGGTCAAGAGTGCCTGCTGTCTTCAATAATACCATTTTTATGGTAATTAATTAATTACATGGTAATTGATAGCTATTATTTCTTGTACCATTCACTTTATATACTTTACCATYTTATTTTAATTCTCACTATAACCAAGAAAGGTGAAAAAACAAAAGTTTGTTTCATTCTTAACTAGAAGTCTTACCAATCGGGTGTATTGAATGTACCTGTTGAGTATTTGCATAGTTTCTCAATTCCTTGAATCAAATGGGACACTGCTACYGTCTTTCCCTGTTCTACATGAATTTCTGCAGGGAACCTGCTTTGTAATCAGAACAATTTCTGAAAATATAACTTTATAGAGTTTATTTTTTTTTATCTTCAAAATGGCGATGTAATATTGAAACTGTGAACCATCCTGAGCTAGGAGTTCACGCAGTTTGAGATAGAGGTTGTGCACCACTGTGCTGTCCTTGGATGTTTAAAACACCTCGTTGCACCCCTGTGAATATGTCTGGCAGCCCAAGGTGCACCTGTACACAATTTGAAAACATTGGCAGTAAAGTGAAACAATCTTTCTTCAACTTTACCTTCACATACTTCTTTTTGGCAGTTAACATATAGTGCTCTATATTCAAACTAATTGCTGTGAAAGCATCTGATCCACAAAGTTCAGGGACCATTTCTTACACACATTCTGGAATAGGGGCTAATGCAGTACCTTATGTATAGAAGATGCTCATCAAGAGGTTAATGACTTAATGGACTTTTATAATTTACACTACACACTTGTGTAATTTCTCCTCTATTATTGGAAATGCCTACTATGGTTCCCTATTAAAATTTAAATATGCCTATATTTATACATATATACAGGTCTATGAACATATATGTATATATGGGTGAGTGCTGTGGTACTTGGAGTCAAACTCCAGGACTTGTGCGTGCATGCTAAGTACACACTGTACCACTGAGCTACCCCACTCCCTTAAGTAAATTTTTTGAAAAGAATGTGCAGTCACTCTGTGTTGCAAATTAGTTGCTGGAGTACAGAAAACAAATCTTGATATAAGAAAGGGATGATTTTGAAGGAGAGCCTTTCCTACTACTTGAAGTACACTTACTCTTTTGCAGGGTAGGTTGCTGTCTGCAAGTTACTGAATTCAAATACATTGAATTCTGAATTATAGAACAAAGGAAAATTAWGATGAAGAACACTTTAGTGTGGGCAAATGTTCCTCTACACCACTGGTGGCAATGCCACTAATGATAATACCATCAATGCTAGAGTGATTTCTGGCAGGAATCATACTTAGAAAAGATGTGTTTCTGAGTAGATTATATTAATGTTCTCTCTGAAGCATCTGAACATTACTTTTAAAAAAATCTGAGAAAGTATGAATGATTCCTATATCTGTACATTTATGTTTCCTTTCCTTTCTTTTCTTTTTGCTTTCTCTTTTGAAGGCTTAGATTTTACATTTCTTCTGTCCCCCCAAATCCACTGAATTTAGGTCCAAAGTTATTTGAGGGAATCAAAAAGAAACTGAAGTTTCCTTTTAATGAGCTAAAATGATGAAAATTTTTAGCAAAATATGCATACATGGAACCATTTGTATAGACAAATTAAAGGGGTAAAAATTAAACAGGTAAAGGAGGCGGAGAATACAACTAGTCTGGGGAAAGTTAGCCTAATTATCATGATTTTTCTCTCCTTTTGGTATCCATTTCTCCTCCTTGGCCAAAATTTCAGCTCTAGTACTAGTGAAAGAAGACCAACATTGCAAATTAATTCACTTTCACATGAAAAGGACTGCAAAGCCCAGAGTAGAGGTCCCTTGGTTACCTGCTGTTTCTCTGTCAGCTGAGGTCAGCTCTCCATTGATCCCATTCTCTTTGGTATCCGAGTAGGTGCCCTGTGACCCATGCTCTCCAAAGGTGCCCTCTTCATCCTCTCTGTATGGGAATCCATTGGYGCTTCGGACAAGTCCTTCCCCTGCCCCGCCTTGGTCCTTCATCTCAGGTGGATGTGGATGTGCAGAAGCCTCTGTGAGCTGAGCCGAGGTCCAGTGTGGCGCCTTGGCTTCATCTTTCCGTTCGTCTGCCATTCTTCAAAGCCCTGTAATTTCTCCTGTAATTGGAAGAGGAAAAATGGTCAGGGCTTTGAGCAAATCTGACCCGACATTAGTTTTATCAAGATAGGGAAAATGTGTAGCAAATTCAGTGGTTTTCTATAGTTGAAAAGACATTTTCGATAACCCTCTTTTAACATCAAGAATTTGCCATTGTACAGTTGGGTTTTACAGACCATTGCTGAAATATTTGTTCTTTTAATATAAGATCACCATCATGGCTACAAATGTCAAACCTAACGTTTAACATCTAAGGATACATCTTTAATTAATGCCCATTGACGTGTGGTATTGAATATTGACAGCATGGTAGAATCAAGAAATCCTTCTGCATAGGGAAAAAGACAGTGGTCAACGTTGCAGTTTCAAATGCGTTCAACCCAAGCTAGAGATGTATATCCTTTTCTGAATACAGTGAACTGAAAGATAGTTTTGACTTAATTGTCAATGAACTTTCCTTAACCCTATCTATAAAGAGGAAATGACATTTTTATTAACATAAATCTTGCAGAGAGAATGGGTTAAAATAGAGCATTAGACCCATGTCCCTATCTGATGGCATTATTTCGAAGCTAAGTCAAATAAGATCTGAAAAAGTGAAATCATTGACACATAATAGGAAACTGTAAATTATAGGGAAAAAAATGAAGCAGCTGTGGAAGGGGTGTTCTATAAATGCTAAGTGAATGGCAGATATTGCACGACCTTCTTTTTATGCTGATGCTACTAAGTTTAGAGATGTAACTGATGAGAGGTGATTCACCACTCAGTTTGGAAAGCTGTTGTCAGTGATGTAGCCTCATTGATGGCTTATTGTACCCATAAGAGTGACAACATAGGCAACGACTATCTCTGATGGAAATTAAGAACACTTTATTTTTTTCAAAACAGTAACCAAAGCAAAGACCTCCAAACAGGTAAACAAAAATGGTATTAAGACAAGCTATTTCTCACTATCAAGCTTCACAAATAAATTAAAGGCACCACAAATAAATTAAGCTTGTACGAAGGGAGGCCTCTCTACCAGGTTTCTAAGAAGCACCTGTTTCTTGGTGAATCTAAACGTAATCCTTAGCTTGCTCTGCTTTCTATTCATAGCAGGAAGAGCTAGATGAGTTCATTCATCAAAAAAACTTAATTACAACAACAAACCTCTCCCCAAATTATTTCCCAAATGCATCCTATTTATATTCCCTAAGAACATATGTTAATAAGATGTAAAAGTTAGTTCTTAAGACATCAGTTGAAGGGCTTGTGAACAAATCAGGGAGAATCCCTTCATCACCAACAGTGTGCCAAGAACAGTACCCACAGGAGAGTTGTGTTTTCTGTAAAATGAGGATATCAAAGCCTAGTTGACTTGTTACAAAGTTAAAACAGAATAAAATAGGGTTCAACACAGTCCCTATTCTGATCTTGATGAGTAAATAATAGTTATGGCATTTGTCATTATTTTCCTGATTGTAGTACAGCCATTCTTTGTACCACCAGTCAGTACCTATAAAACATTTTAAGTAGATTTTCTGGGATTGTTGACATAGTAGCTGGAAAATTTGTTCAAGTACAACAAAGACAGATACTTGTAAATCTGTCTCCAGATATTGCATAGGACTGAAAGAACATCCCTAGACAGGCATAGCAAATGTCCCAGAAATGAAGCCTGATGAGAAGAATGTATCTTCAGAATTATCCTCACCATATACACAGGTGGAAAAGTAGGTTCATCTTTTGTAAAGGCAATTCTGCAGTATCCTACACTCTACTCTGCCATTGTCTTCAAATGAAATATCAAAATATTTATTTTGAGAGCCTAAAGGTGGTGTTTTTTGACTCACTACGGTATCTTCATATGTCTAAGAGATGGACATAAATTGTGACCTCTGGATTACAATATTTTATTGATGGACTTAATTCCCTCAGCATCCTAATCTTTATATGCATCAATTTCTTTAACTTTCCTTCATCAGAATTAAAGTTTCCACATTCTTATGTAGTATAATGTATTTTATGTGTGAAATGAATATTGTAAATAGAACCCACTGCATACAATTTCTCCAGTTTTGAACACCTTGCACTAGAATGGTAAATTTACTATAATTAATGAACCAACATCAATACCTTATTATTAACAAATTTGTAGTTTATTTAGACACCCTTATTTTTAGCTAGCATCATTTTTGTTTTCAGGATCCCACCTAGAACACTACATTTAGCTTTCACGTCTCCTTAGATTCTTTATGACCTTGATCTTCCCAGGTTTGGGAAGTACTGGAAAAATAAATCATAGGATATCTTTCTACTGAAATTTAACCTTTTTTTCATGATTAGTTTGGGGTTATGTATTTGGGGGAGGAAGGCCACACAGGTAACGTGATCAGATAAGCTTGGGAGATGCTGAGCTACACATATAAGCGTACGGAGAACCTTCTGAGAGCTTTGGATGTGCTGATGGATATTCATTCTCAGTGATGCACAAAGCCTCCCAAACCAGTTTGCAGAACCATTTCATGACCCCACATTTGTGAACATCTCTAAAAGGATGGATCTGTAAAGATTCAGGATTGTTCTTTAACCCATGTTCAAATCTGAGCATTCTAGTCACTAGATATTCAAAGTAAATAAAAACAACAAGAGCACTTGCAAATCTTTGCTAAATTTGTCTATGCTCCCTATTCCCCAGGGTTCTTTGGAACAGATTTCTCAGTGATCAAAAATCTCATCTTGCACCTAATTAGCCAATGCCTAATAGGAGTGAGTGAGTACTATTAGGTCATCATCCACTTACACAGTTGGGATCATTTATTTTCAAGAGACTAAGCATTTATAAAGTGAATTCCTAGGAGTTTAATGCGTTAGAGCTTTGAATTTTTTAACCCTAATTAATCAATAAATGAAAACTAATTTTGGAAGAAGAAAGAAATGGCTATTCACATTGATGTCACTTAATACTAATGACAAATAAATGAAATTTGTTGCCTAAAAAGCATCCTCTGAGTCTCCAATAAGTCTAATTAAATGATATTCCCTAAATGTACCAGATATCACTTTCTAGTTTGTTAATCTTTTGAAATGTACACAGTCTAACCATCTATTAAATCAATATCATTTTAGAAGATTTCTTGCTAGAGTTTGCATTGCTTCAATCATCGCTAATATTTGTTGTTAAACAATTCCCTGTTCATATTTCATAGCTCTTTAAGCACAGACTTAACTCTTCATCAAAAGTTAAACTTTCAGTTCTTAAAACTCCAGTTTCCCCCCTCAATAAGCCTCAGATCTAGTTCTGTTCTTGGCCAAAGCAAGCATGCTTTTATCCCAACCTGTGGACTACTGGACACTACTGCACTCTAATTCATTTCACTAATGGAAAATATGATTCTTTCATGTTTGTTGATCTGTTGTTATTATTTGATTTCAGTGACCCAAGCCACACTATGAAGCTCTGCATTGGTTAGACTTCCAACCTATTAAATATTGAACCTATATCATCTTATATCAGCATAATAAAATTGCTATAACCAGACTCTGTCTTTGTACAGATTAAATTATAAGTTGAATGGTGTATGGATTAGTTCCCAGTTTATTTAATATATGTCAAGTTCTTCCATTTTGTTTTTAGGTATATTGATTTCACTTAATACTAATGACAAATAAATGAAATTTGTTGCCTAAAAAGCATCATCTGAGTCTAAGARGATGGATCTGTAAAGATTCAGGATTGTTCTTTAACCCATGTTCAACTCTAAGCATTCTAGTCACTAGATATTCAAAGTAAATAAAAACAACAAGAGCACTTGCAAATCTCTGCTAAATTTGTCTGTGCTCCCCATTCCCCAGGGTTCTTTGGAACAGATTTCTCAGTGATCAAAAATCTCATCTTGCACCTAATTAGCCAATGCCTAATAGGAGTGAATGAGTACTATTAGGTCATCATCCACTTACACATTATCATGTTTGATAACGCAGAGTAAAGCAAATACTTTTCTCTAACACTGATAGAAGGTTTAGTATCATGAGTTATGAGTCTTAGTAGTCACTCTCTTAGTTAATTCTAGGTATAATTTAATAGAAGCTATAGAAGAGAAAGCAAATAAAAGAACTGAAGCACAACAAAAGAACAGATTAAAAAAGGAAAAAATATTATCTCAATGTAAAACACGGGTACCATGGCAAAACTCAATTCATGCTTTAGAACAAATATTCCAGTTTTCAACTTACTTAGAAAAAATTTTTATATAGCATGCTAATTAAACATGCTTAGAGACCCCTTCTGTTGCTTGTGGGCAGGTCTGTCCACCATTGCTGCTATTACCAGATTTTTAGAGATTTGAAATTTTTGAGATTTGAAATGGATCTGCTTTTTAAAATTTTTCATACCTAATATTATTTGCTCTATGTTTCAAAACTCCAGGGTTTTGTTTGAGTATATTTCCAGATACTAATGAATTCATACTTTGTGTGTGTGAGAGAAAAATTTGGATTTGCCGGTAGGCAGCCTAAATGTCTGCCACCACTGTTTRAAACTATCTTTTTATGATTGTCCCTTGAATTAAGGATCTACATAGCAAATTAATTTATACTGAAATTTAGAAATAAAATGTTTGATCATATATATATTGCTATTTCTGATAATTCTTAGATAATCAGGGAATAAATCTGTTTCACAATTTCCCTGAATTATCAGAAAGTTTAAATACTTAACTAAAGTAATTACCTCATTCTACATCTTTGGCACTTATTTTATTCTAAATCTTCGGTACTGTGTTATGTTCTTTATTATAATTTAATTATAAAACATATCAAATCTTTCTAGAAACCAGAATGTACGCCACAAATAAATAATGACTACACATTATCTTTCAACATTTTACTTAGGGGGTTTTTAAAGAAAATTAGGTATTATTTAGTACACTGTAGCCCTTATGTTATTCATGTATAGAAAGTGAAGAAAATACAAAATGGATATTAATATTTCCTACACAAATTGTTTTATAAAACT